CGTGGCTGGAGGATTTGGATTCCTGCGGCAATAAAAGCGTTTGTAACCACAGAGGGACTCTGAGCGTTTATATTCCACTGATAACGTGGAGAAACAACTAAAAGCGTTTGCTGCCTGAGCCCCTCGGAGCGTGTTACTCAGTATTAATTAAAATCAAAGCTCTCTGCTGTCACCCGGTGAGTTGGTCAAGTGTCGCTGCCGTCCTAAACTTGTGCAGGAGTGAAGGACCTGCGTTTTGTGTTGTCTGGTATTTCCTAAACTGTGCCTTGCAGAAGCAGACAGGTGGAGGTTACGAAGTTTGAGATGCTGGCGGCTCGGTTAGCACTGCCTGGGTGGAGGGTGCGAAGGCACTGTTCAATAACTGAAAAGCTTCCCCTTGCAAGGGAATTGCTAACCGCCTTTCGCTGCTGGGAGCAGCTCCGTTGCGAGAAAGCAAGTGGGAGGCTTGCAGCTGGCGACTGCTGACGGGTTGCCGTGGTCCGGCCGCGGAGGAACTGAACCTCTGTTAACTTGCGCGGAGAAAGATGAGTGAAGGCAGATTGCGCTCTGAAAAGCTGAGAAACTGCCTGACCTCGTGCGTAGCACAGGCTACGATCGTGTCTTTGTGCCACTATGCTAAACCCAGGGGGGCGCTTGAGGAAATGGTAGGCTGTGTCTTGCTCTAGCTTTTGTGGCAGTTTCGGACTGGAGCTGCTAAGAACCACCTCATGGGGTTTGTGTTCTGACCTGTTTTTTCCCTGACTGTCAGAGTGCTAAAGCAGTGGGCCTTGGCTGCTTGGCTTGTTATGCAGGCTGTGTCAGTCTCACACTTCTCCAGGAAGCTGAATTGGTCTCACGCTTTCAAATACAAATTTCAGCATTGGTGTCGAGGACTGTCTCATGGGATCAGATATCCCATGATATCCTCCTAGGGAAGCTGAGGAAATGTGGGCTGGATGAGTGGTCGATGAGGTGGATTGAGAACTGGCTGAATGGCAGAACTCAGAGGGTTGTCATCAGCGGCTCCGAGTCTAGTTGGAGGCTGGTAACTAGTGGTGTCCCCCAGGGGTCAGTACTGGGCCCAGCCTTTACAAATCCACCCTGTAAAAAAACATTATGCAACAAGATTTGCTGTAAGTCTTGCTAACAGCAATCCGGTAAAACAGCAAACTCAGTTTGCTGTAATGTAGATGGGAGGGACGTTTCCCCTTCTAATTTAACAAACTCGAAAAAGTGAGCAGACCGTTACCCTTCAGTCATCTTTTCTTCCTAGTTCTTATGTAGCAGCATAGAGGTGCCCAAACTTCTGTCCTGGTTATGCCTCACACCCTCTCATAGGGGCATGCAAGGAGCATACAGCACTGCAAATTTTTGACTTTAGGGCTACGAGGATGGTGAGGGGACTGGAGCATCTCCCCTACGAGGAGAGGTTGAGGGAACTGGGCTTGTTCAGCCTGAGGAAGAGAAGGCTGCGAGGGGACCTTATAAATGCCTACAAATATCTGCAGGGTGGGTGTCAGGAGGATGGGGCCAAGCTCTTTTCAGTGGTGCCCAGTGACAGGACAAGGGGTAATGGGCACAAACTGAGGCACAGGAAGTTCCGTCTGAACATGAGGAGGAACTTCTTCTCTCTGAGGGTGACGGAGCACTGGAACAGGCTGCCCAGGGAGGTTGTGGAGTCTCCTTCTCTGGAGATATTCAAGACCCGCCTGGACAAGGTCCTGTGCAGCCTGCTGTAGGTGACCCTGCTTTGGCAGGAGGGTTGGACTAGATGACCCACAGAGGTCCCTTCCAACCCCTACCATTCTGTGATTCTGTGACTGTAGGAGTCCAGCCATGGCCATGCTTTCATTGCCTCCTTTCATACAAAAAAAGTCCTTTGGAAATAGCATTTGCTCTCTTGACTTTTCATTTAGTGGAGGTGTGAATATAAATGAACGGGAATATCTGTGCAATGATTTTTACTAAGGAGTAAGCTGCTGCCTGTGAGAGCTGCTTCTCTTGTTGTTGCAAATGTTACTGAATCCCACCGAGAGGAAACGAACCTGGTGCAGTGTTAGCAGCAAAAGAAATTTTACCTTGTTTACAAAGCTTTGAACTATGCATGTAACACGAAGTCTTTTTTGTCTACGTTTACCCTTGCAAGATCCCCACCACTGGTTTAGATTTTAGATGTTTTGAGTCTGTGGTGGGTTTTTTTTTTGTTTGAGTTTGTTAAATATAAACTTCATGTACCTTAAAGTTGCATAGTCTCTGTTTAGACCTCTGTGAGGTCTGAAGGGAGCGAAATTATTTAGTTGAAATGGAAGAGGAGTTTTGGTCTTGTGTTTGGCACTGCAGGACTCCCAGTGCTGGAACAGTTGTTGCTGCAGCATGCCTCTGTGGAAGCAGGTGGCACTCATGGACGAACGCGGGACAGAGAAGTTGCAGATTTTAGATTTTTCTGCTAGAATTAGCTGCTTCCGTATCGATGTCTTTGAAATGGTGGACTTAGAGGTGCCACTTGCTCCAAGTTCTCCCTGGCTGTAGCTTCAGTAAGTATTACTGATGTTTCTGTGGAACAGTTCCACTGTTTTCCAACTGGAGACCAAAGTGAATGACTCCATCTGAAAACTGCCAAAATGGCTTGTGTGGAGGCTGAGTTTCGGATCTATGACCAGCGCTAAGGTCGCTTGAATTTCACTGGCCTGCTTTGACAAGTCACGTTGGTTTTTATTGTGTATGGCAATCCCACAGTTACTACTTAAATGAGTCTGCACACAGGGAAAGAAAGAATCAGGCAGCATCTTTATAGTAATGCTTTGTCCTCTTTCCTTGTAGGATAACCATGTCCATGAAAAGCTGGTATCTCTTAGTTTGCTTCAGAAAGACTTTGTGCCTTTTCTGCTAAATTTTTTAAGGGAGCAGACCAGCCAGATCCTGACTAATGGACCCTCTACTCCTGCTAAAACCCCTAATTCCAAGGCCCATGGGAGCCAGAGGGCGGGATCAGAAAGGAGGACAGGCCACGCAACCAGCAGCCGAGTGCAGCTCTTCTCCCAAAGGACTTCGGTGGCCACCTGCACCACAGATACCACCAGCTTTTCCCCTGCTGTGGCATCCAGCGGCTCCTCTTCCCTTTCTGGATCAAACCTGTCTAGCCCTTGCGGTGACTTCCCTAGCGCGGTCTCCAGTAGCAGCCCAAGCTTTGGGTACAGCCCTGTGCTTAACCACGGTGAGAAGCGGTCATCTCAGAAGGTCAGCTTGGGGAGCTTCCTTACAGCCACACCTGAAGCCCTGCCAGCGAGACGAGGCCGAAGGAAAGGAAACAGCTCAGTCAGTGCCTCCGGCCGGCAGGTAGCTCGGGACCTGGGGCATTCCCTTGCTGAAGAGGAAGATGGAAAGAATGACGGTGTATCGTGGAGTGGAGGGAGAAGGAAGCGGAGTGAAGTGCCTCTTGTTTCTGCCAGATCCCCACCCAGCCAGCTAAATCTTAACAACCTGGAGGAGTTTCCGCCCATGGGTGCTGCCCCTGGCTGGACAAAGTAAGAGCAAGTCTGCCTCACTGTCTCATTCGGATTGTGCTGCCAGTTACTGTTCCTTGGCTAGCTCATCCTGTTGTGCGTGTCCAGATGCAGAAGATGCGGTAATAAACGATACCTGGGGGCTGGCTACGGGGCTTCTTGGTCAGAACTTTGTTACGGTTGCCATGTAGGGGAATATTGCTTCAACGGGTAGTCAGGTTTCCATACTGTGAACTTGCACAAGGCGCATCTTTAGCCTCTCACTTGTCATGCTGCCTGCAGCTTACCGGTGCGCAGACCGGCTGATACAAAGCTGAGCACATCTTTGTCCTTGCAGTTTCTAACAAGTCAGCATGATCTTGACTCTTCACATTTCTTATTTAATGCAATAGCAATTGCTAATGGAGAGCAGTCCTGGACGGCTCTTCAGCTTTGCCGATGCTAGCAGAAAAGCTTTCGGATTGGACTTCTGTGGCTTCTGGTAACAGATGTTAGCGTGCAGCTTCATTTGTGCCATGTGGTCACGGACAAAATAGCTAGCTGACGCCTGTGTTCTCTTTGGTCTGCAGCAAGCCCTGCTCTCCCTGGCTTAGCTTCTAGGCAGCTGTTTGTGTTGTGGTTGCCTCAGTTATTTTCTCTTTGACATTTTACTATTTAAAATCCTCATTACCAGATAAAACGCTTTCATGTCAGCCTGTTTGCTCCATGTATCGGGCACTGGTCTCTGAAAGTGGGACTTTCTAGTTAGACTTGCAAAATTCCAGCTGAAAATTGATAGGTCTGTAGGTCTGTACAGCAGATCCAGATGCTGGGTCTAGATGATGCTCTAGATGATGCTTTGGCCAAGGGAGAGAAGGTGTTCCCAGCATAGATGGTAAGTCTCTCTTCCTCAATTGTACTATGCCCAGCTAGGAAGGAGTGAGGAAAGAGGTCATGGAGTGTTTGGAAGCCAACGCTATAGCGATTTTGAGAACACCGTAGCAATTAATATGTAGCAGCTAGCATTTCCTTGAGAGGTGTAATGTTCTATGTTCCTGTATCTCATTTCCAGTATGTCTCTTACTGCATTATGGAGTTACTTATTGCATTACTGCACTCTAGGTAGTTTATGCAGGAAGGGTAGGCTTTCCTAAACATAAAGGGCCAGTGGTAACTTGGGAGCCTGGACTCTTACTGATAGACAATGGCAGCTTGATTGTTTTGGGGGGTTTTTGGGGGGTGTTTTTTTGTTTGTTTCTCATGGTCATGTTAGAAACGGCCGGTGAAGTAGTTTCTTACTAAAGTGAGGCATATCCTGTCCTCTCAAATGAGAAATGTTCGGAAGAGTTGTGTGACGCTGTGTTACCTGTTTTGGGTCTTGATTCATAACTAATTTTGCAGCAAGGGTTAGCAGGCTGTTACTAGCAGTCTGTAGCTCCGTGACTTTTTGTTCAGTGACCAGAATAAAGTCAGCAACTATATGTACAGTTTAGAAAGTCAATATCCTGACCCCATATCCATTTTATTTTATCATTAGGTTCTCTTGGAAGAGTTGCATGCATATCTGTCTTGAGACCTAATTTTTTTGTTTTAGCTTGATTTCAGTGGAATCGCTTCTCACTTTTTCAGCAAAAGCAAACCATCAAGACGAATCAACCCAACGCCTGTAAGTGCTGAGCGTCCCCTCTCAAAACCAAAGATGTGCTTCACTTCGACACCTGTCAGCCAGTCTCCAGCTGCTCGATTTTCATCTGGGTCAAGCTCTGATGCCTTTACTACTGTCCAGGAAGGAAACCTTACATCTGCGATGAACAACAGTCTTCAAGAGGAGAGGGAGATGCTGAAGAAAGAACGGTACAGTCTGGGTGGTGATAGGCTTTTATTGGTTCTTCATTCTCTTGTCTTAAGGTGGTACCAATGTCAGAGTGGAAGTGACCAGAAGAATATCCAAAGCAGATATTCGTCACTTCAAACTATGATTTGCCTAAAACCAAGTGGATATCAAACTAGGGGATTAATGCAGTTAGCTCATTTGTCATTTAGAGGTGCGCTGAGCTGACTCTGGAGCAATGACCCTCACTTTGTTTTCGGAAGTTCAGTCAGTCCTCAGTGCTTTTGTAACATTGCCTCTTCATGGGCTTGCACGCGTGGCTATCTCCGGTGCAGCTTTCCTTATATTGCGCAGGTGAAGCGGGTGGGTTTGAGCGGGTGTAACTGGGCTGTGCTTGAAGATTGTGCCTGTGATGGAGCGCATAGTCTGCTTTGAAGAAAACAAGTTCATGATGTAAATACGGGGAAAGTGTTCATGATTTTGCAAGGTAGGCAGGCTGATGACTAACGCCAGCTTACAGTCAGAGAAAACAGGACATGGGTAGCGTGAGATTCTGTTTTAAGAGTTACTACTGCAATTATGTATTGAAAATTATGTGTGCTGAGAGATGAGGTGAATTCTAGCTTCTAATTTTCTCTGCTGTTCAGTTACTGTGTGACTTTCATCCTTTGTAAAATGATATCATTGTTAGTCTGTGAGGATTGACACTTCAGAAAAAAAACAAAGCACAGTAGTAGAGAAACTATCATTTATAGTTGCTGACAGAACTGTTGCTATTCTCTGTAGATTTGGTTCATGGGGAAACTCCTCAGGACACCTGGGTGGAATTCTTTTCCTGCTAAGCCTTGCATTTCACTTCAGCGTGTCAAGAACTGGCTGAAACAGACCCAGCAGAATCTCACGAGTTACTGTTTGTACCAGACCTGTAACAGAACTGCTCAGGGTTCCATCCTGCCTGAAATGTCCCACTAATCTGTATAAAATAAAGTGGGTGAAATGGGAGTATGCAGGCTGGATCTTGCCTGTGAGATGGTCTCGTCTGACCTATTGTGCTTGAAATGGGCAGTGCTTGGTGCACAGAGCTGGGAGCTGCTGTTGTGCCCTCAGCAGTGGTGGGGAAGTGAGGTACAAAACTAATGCAGCCCCTAGCCAACTGGGTCACTTTGAGCAATGGCAAAACACGAAGGTCATGCTGAGGTAGATGTGAGGCAGAAGTGAAGCAAGGTCTAACTACGTTGTTGGAGTCTTACCTTGGTGGGTTTACAAAGTGCTTAATAAATAATTTTCTTCAGTCAGTTGGGTGCTTGTGTTCATTGCAAGGGAGAAGTTGCTAAATAACCTTTCTGCTCCCGTTTTGGGACTAATTTGTTCTTCATCACAGCAGTTCCCCTAGAAATAGGCCAATAGAAAAAATTATTTGCTGCACTTAAAAATGTTTCTGTCTTCCCCACAGCCTTTAAAGTGACTTTAAAAGATTTTACTTTTGAGACAATGTGGTAAGGGGTGGTGTGATATGCCAAGTGTGGATATTCCATTGGGATCTTTAACAGTCATTTGATACTGCTGTTACTACCTTTTTTTCCTGCTGCTCATCTGTCTTACATATGCCACTCTGCTGCTGCATTTTGGATAACCGCTGTAGGTATATTTTTTTACAGTATCTATGTATCTAACTGAGTGATTATTGTTCATTTAGAATCCAACAATTAAAGTAGCTTGCTCCTTCTGTCGTTTATTTGCCAGTATTTTCATCAGTTGTTGCATTGCCTTTCCACTTTATGGTATTGGATCTTCTCAGGGTGTCGTTAGCTTACAAATATATCTGAAGGTACGAATGTGGACCTTACCTTCATAGATTTTGTAAAGTGTCTAGCTGTCAGAAATTGCACATGCAGAAACTTTTTTTAGGACCTGATCTCTAACAGATTCCGTGTCCTTAATAAATACGAGTTCAGATGAGGAGCAATGACATAGGCTAGTTAGATAATTTGGTCAAAGTGCCACACTGTTTTAGCAGAGTTGGAATCTGAGTGTGATTGTTTTGTGTCTTTGGATTGTTAGCCCCAAGATCCTTTCTCATTAAGGGAAAGATGAGTTAAATTACTATCATGCTAAGAGCAGCTTTAGACAGTGTAAATGACATGGCTAGTTATTGCAGGGATTCCTTCATGCTAGACTGCAAGAAAAAGACCCCTTCAGGCCGCATGGCTGCTGTGTATCATCTTCAGTCACATTGTATGTTGCTGCTTTTGAATTTCAGATGCAAACTGCTGCACCAGGCGTCTTCTCCTGCAGGGATATCTCTTGATCCTGGCACTCCTACTAAGCCTAGCTACACTCGCAGTGCCAGCCTTCCTGCTTTTTAGGTGAATCATAGAATCATAGAGTCATAGGTTGGAAAAGACCTCTAAGATCAAGTCCAATCATCCACCCAACACCACCATGCCTACTAAACCATATCCCGAAGTGCCACATCTAAACGTTTTTTGAACACCTCCAGGGATGGTGACTCAACCGCCTCCCTGGGCAGCCTGTTCCGATGTCTGACCACTCTTTCAGTAAAGACATTTTTCCTAGTGTCCAATATAAATCTCCCCTGATGCAACTTGAGGCCATTGCCTTGTCCTGTCGCCAGTTAGTTGGGAGAGGAGACCAACACCTGCCTCACTACAGTGTCCTTTCAGGTAGCTGTAGAGAGCAGTAAGGTCCCCCCTCAGCCTCCTCTTCTTCAGACTAAACAGCCCCAGTTCCTTCGGTCGCTTCTTGTAAGACTTGTTCTCTAGACCCCTTACCATCTTCCCTGCCCTTCTCTGGACACAGCTCCAGCAATTCAAAGTCTTTCTTGTAGTGAGGAGCCCAGAACTGAACACAGTACTGGAGATGCAGCCTCACCAGTGCCGAGTACAGGGGCACGATGTCCTCCCTACTCCTGCTGGCCACACTATTCCTGATACAAGCCAGGATGCCGCTAGCCACCTTGGCACACTGCTGGCTCATGTTCAGCCGGCTGTCGACCAACATCCCCAGGTCCTTTTCTGCTGGGCAGCTTTCCAGCCACTCTTCTCCAAGCCTGTAGCGTTGCATGGGGTTGTTGTGACTGAAGTGCAGGACCCAGCATTTGGCCTTGCTGAACCTCATACAGTTGGCCTCGGCCGATTGATCCAGCCTGTCCAGATTCCTCTGCAGAGCCTTCTTACCCTCCAGCAGATCGACACTCCTGCCCAATTTGGTGTCATCTGCAAACTTACTGAGGGAGCACTCAAGACCCAGAAGATGTGAGACTGACCTTTTTCTGAGCATTGAGCTTGTGTGTTTGTTGTGAGGGGGAGGTAGGCAAGAAGTGAAAGTTGTGGGATAGTTACAATGTACAAACAAATAACATCTGCAAAAATAAACTAGACAACACAATTATTAAAATAAATGGGTACCAGGTAAAAGTTTAGGGAAGGAGATGAACCTGATGCAGTACTCTTAGCTGCAGTAGGCTGAAGTTGTTTGGTTGTATCTGAAACCAGACTCTTCCCGAAAGCATCTTTCCTGTAATTCCCATATTGATTTACACTGTGGCTGTGTGGGGAGGGAGTTTTTTGCGGACTGTGCCATAGAAGAGTTATCTGTCTTTTTACCTTCGTTTATTAAAGCAAGTCAATATTGAATATCCACCTTTAGTATCGCACTTCCTCTCTTCCAGAAAACCTGGTACCAAATATTTTTCTGGAGCTCTTTTTTGTTCTGCAGCTGTTGACATCTAAAGGCACTTCTGCTGCAGAGGATGGGGATAGTGACCTTGAAGTCAATGAAGGAAGTAAAGGTAAGCAATAGTATCGAGTGGAAAGAATGTTATTTCCACAGAATGATAATGTGATACAGAATAGTTGCCTTTAGCTTGGACAGTTAGTCTTAAATTCCATAAAACCACCTTATTACCACTGTGGGACTCACTGGAGATGATGACAAACATGATGGATGTATGGGAAGTGCTTCTACGATGCGACAGAGTGGGGTTGCTAGATACTGTTAGAATCTAGTTTTCCACTGTTGCGTGAGATTTGCTGTAGCTACTTGCTAACACTGACTTTCAGAGAGAAGGACGGATATGCTAAAGTCTGCTCCATTGGTCCTTGCAATTCAAAAGTGCTGTTGATCCACTGTATGTTTCTTAAATTTAAGGTTGGGTTACAAGTGCGCAGGACCCATCCATATAGATACGTAATTGTTGCATTTGTTCTTTGGCAAATTCAGACTTAAGCTTGAATCAGTTAGTACTTTGATAAGGTTATAAAAACAAAAAAATGGTTTTAAGATGAGACAAACCTCCTCCCGCTCCCAAATGCTCCTGTTTGATTGACCTTTGTTTTGCCACTCACCGATTCTTAGGGCTGAGATTAGGAACATGAAGTCTCCAGTTCAGGGAAAAACAGCTGATGGCTGGTTGCAGTTGGTCTAGTTTTTGCCCTGGATCTGCTTACTGTTGGCTGGAACGTTGAGAAGGAATCTTTTCTTTCCCATACAGCATTGACCAATTCAGTTGCTTTTAGTATAGGAAGGATAGGGATGGGAGTTTTTGTCTATTCCGGTGTCAGGGAATGGGAAATTCTGGAAACTGGATACTGGTCTGGAAGACTGGTTTTGGATATGGCAGTTCCTGCTTTCCTTGAGAGCTAAGTGTTGGTCTTTTAGTTTATAAATGGTGATAAGTGCTGTTGTCTCATTTTTCTTTTTTTCCCTTAGATGCATCAGGGAGACAGCATTTCCGAAGTGTGCACAATTGTGTTTATTTTGCTGTTCAAGTCTTGGATTATCAGTATGAGTGAGTTGAATATTTTTTTTTTTTTCCTCTGCTAGTGTCTGCACATGTGTGTGAGATGAAGCAAGTGTGCTTGGATTTTACAGCTTTACTACTTACAGGCATGGAGTTGTTAATTTTCCCTCAAAATATACAACTTGGCCTGGATTTGGATGTCTGTGAGTGTTCCTTGCACTGATCTGTCTACTGAACTTCAGTATGATTATGCAAGAATGGGAAAGTCATGAGATGAGAGCAATACAAAATAGCCCTACAGATACCAGTAGGGTTTGATGCTGGGTGCCTGGGGCTTAGAACTTTTTGCTTGGTAGCCTCATAAAAAATGAGCATAAGCATTTCTTTAGGTCTGACCATGTGTTGTTTATGTCTGTCTGTCTATGGGTTTTATCCATGTTGTCTTGGCAGAATTATTTCCTATTTAGAAAAGGGGACGCTGAAGCTCTTGGCTGAAAACGAACGGATTGCATCTTTTTCTCCCACCTTGCACGAGAGGCTAAGGCAGGCTTATGAAAGCAGCACAGCCAAGGTAAAAATTGGCAGACCTCAGCTGATGTTGCTTCATACCTTTGTGTTGTTGCTGTGTTATTTGCGATGGCTTTGATGTTAAATCTCATTCCTTCTGAGTATCTTGTCATGTTGTCTTTGGCAAGTGTCCAAAAGGTACATTTTTTTCTTGTCAGAAGGTGAATGAATTTCTAGGTTCTGTGTTTGTTAGCTGTGAGTCACTGCTGGCTAGCCTTATATTGTGCTCCAGGCCTTGACCTCAGCCAGCGACTTTGACAGGGTCATTGTGCTTTTGAGATTCTCATCCAATAAACGTGGATCCCAGAAGAATAATCAGTTGGATGCAATATCAGAATGTGGTTTGGAAGCAGTGGATTTGTTTCATAGCTACAGACTCTTTTCAGGCAAATGAAGCTTCAGAGAAAACAATGCGGCCTATCAAAACTTGTTTCCTGATCTAATCATCTGAGTTAGGGAACTAAGGCTGGATGGTAGGAATGCCTGCCTTCCCGTATTTTGCATCTTGTTTCATCCGTCTTTTAAAAATGGGAATTGCTCTTGGCAAAGAAAGTACAGTGTACTTCCTGAGACTAGGGCATGTCAATAGCTGACATTTGTAGTTAAAGCTGTGAATAAAGGTCCCTGGTTACTTGAAGATGCAGGTTTTTCGAATAGGAGCTAGAAGAATAATACAGGAATTGCCAGCCACTGCCCTGCGTTCTATGGAGCCCTGTATTGAAGGTGCACTGCGGCTGTTTGCAGACCGTTCTTGCCACACTGTATCAATACTGGTTGCAATCTGTTCTGCAGAGATTTCTTAGAGAGACAAGATGCTTCCACTCAGAATGTTGAATGATTATGCCTCTGTAGTGTAATGTAAACACCATCAGTTGTACAACCTACTGGCAGTTAGCAATTGGGAAATGGCCAGTGTCTGAACAACTCAAACTAGTGATACTTGGCTTCTTCATCATGTCTTTTGTCTGCTTTTTCTAGGTCTCAGATTATTGGATAAATTAGAGATTTATATTGGCCTAATGACTGCCTTTATATTTTTAACAGGTGTCTCTCCTGCTGCCATGCTCGGTACAATCTGTTTCTTTCCAGCCAGAAACTGACAATCGCTCTAACTTTCCCAGTGACAGAGCATTTCACATATTTAAGAAACAAAGGCAAGTTCTTCTACTGTTACTGTGTAGCTCACTGGGTATAATCTTTCATGACTGTGCACAAAGGATATTAAGAATGTCTCCTGTATGCTATGTGCTGTAGAAACATCTTGAGATTTTCACTCTAATGAGAAAAAAAAAAGAAAAAAGTCTTTGTCCATGTGGACTGCAGGAGTTAAATGCTTAATGTCTTTAGAGAAGAACAGCCTAATTCTTTGAGTTATTGAGACTTCTGGTAAATGCCAGTACAGTGTGTCACCCTACTGGATTGCTTCTGCATATAAATCTGGTATATTCTTCCTACCACCTCGCTCCATGCTTGCAGCAACAGGATGAGGGGAGAATGGCAAGTTGTCTTGGTCCTTTTTTCTCTCCTCATAGGTATGATTTCATGTGGCTTATTCTGTCCTGCCTCTCAGTCTGGTAATGGGTGTTTTGGTCATTCCATCAGAGCTTGGGCATAACAAGCTTAAGCACTTGCTGTCAAAGACATGGAAAATGGAAACTCATTGAAGTACTGCTAACATTAACGAGTTTTGCAAAGGTATCTGAATGCTTAGAGGCTTGAGTTACTTAATCTGAGTTAGATTCTTGCTGGGGAACTTAGGAGCAATGGAATATTCAGTTGTTGTTACTTCAGATTTTGAAGAGTAGGAATTCATACCCTTAAATATCTTGATTCACAGGGATATCTTTTATGAACTGCTGCGTGAATGGGAGGATAACCATGAAAAAACTGGCTGGGACTTTGAAAGAGTTCTGGGCAACAAAATCAGGTAGGAGTCTTATGCAACTTCAGCTAGTTCATTTATGTAGCTGAATTGCTGGTGCAGCATACTAGACTTGGCACCCTGAGTTCCATGTTCTTCCTACTAGTCTTCTGCACTGATCTGCAGGGAGCTCTGCTTCTTGAAAGATGCTGTCCGTGTAAACTGGCTTCTATATTTAAAAGTATCAACAGTTATCTTAAAGAAACAAGCTCTAAGTGGCAAGGGTCTCGTTTGATCAGTCTTGGTGTAGCGCATTCTCTGTTCATAAGCACAGAAAGAGCCATTCTCGCAGCCTTCTACACTTCTAGTGTACTGGCTCTGAAAACTAGACAACTGTGGCTCTTTCTATGGAAAGCAAAGTGTTTTATTCATTTATTTCTTTATCAAAATAGAGTATATATAAAGAAACTATTACGGTTTTGAAAGCAATTGCTTTGTGGGTTTGTGTGTTGATCTTAACCACTAGCCTATTCAAGTTACACGTATGAAGGTGATTTTTCACCACAGGAGGAAAACAAAGCTGAGATTTAAACTGAGAAATTTTCCTTCTCTTTGGGCATCAGAAGTACAGCTATTTCTGTTTTCTTACTTGCATATGTGGAAACTCTCAACTCACTACCTTACACAGGGGAGAGTCAGAGCTGAATGAGTTAATTTTCTTCCTAAATAACAGAATTATTGCAGGAGAAGAAGAGAGTCTTTTTATCTCTAAAGCTGTGTTTGCTCTGCAGGTGGTCAGGGAGATTTTTGTTTCCATGGTCAGCAGGTGGGGCTCTGTGGTTGGGAAACCAGGTTATAAAGAAGTTGCTTTTTGCAGTGGTCTTTAGAGATCACTTTCTTAAAAGCAGTTACAGAATCACAGAATCACAGAATGTTCGGGGTTGGAAGGGACCTCTGTGGGTCATCTAGTCCAACCCTCCTGCCAAAGCAGGGTCACCTACAGTAGGTTGCAGAGGACCTTGTCCAGGCAGGTCTTTAATATCTCCAGATATGTTTTATGCTTTCAGTGTAGTTTGAAGTAAAAACAGTTTTTTGTACCACAGAGATCAGTCAGCGTTTTGTGATGTTTTCCTTTACAGGGCCATGATGGCTCACCTGTCTGCAACCTGCAACCACAGCCATTTTGCCAGGCTCTTTCAGAAACAGCTTATCCAGGTAAATGACTTGTTTCTTTTTCATGAAGATATACATCAAAGCTGATCTGATCCTTCCTCAGCCTGAGAAAACAAACAATGTCTTGCAAGTTTCTTTTGAGATTTTCCTATTGAAACTTTTTTGGGACAGCTAAGTCTTCAGGATGGGGGATTTTCCTTCCTTTTTCAGAAATACAAATCATCAGTGATAAATTACTGATGAACTCTCTGTAAATCAGCGATAAGACACGCACTGAGCACATCATGAGCTGCAAGAGTTCATTCTTCATGGTTATTTACTTGAACCTTCTAATTTTAGAGCAGTTATAATTTATAGAAATTTTAAGGATGTGTTTTGACATGTATCAAATGCAGAGGTTCCCAGTTATGTTCATTGGCAACAAGAGTGTGCTACCTGCAAAGAGTCTCTGGTTCTGTGTAACACGGACACAGCCTCTTTTTGATATATTGCTGTGGTAGTTTACAGGGATTTTTTGGCCAGTTTCAAGCATCATTTGACTTCACTGTAGCTGAAGGAATGGAGAAAGAAAAGATGCTTCTGATTGGAGTATAGATACTCACTGTATTCTCTATCAATGGGTGGCTCATTGGTGGGTTCCTTTTGGATAGCAAAAACAGACACAAACCTCGCCCCCTTGAGCATTAGCCCACGTGCATTGCCAGGAATTTTCGAGCTGTTAGAATGTTGAAAAGTCCTCTAGTGTCCGGTAGGAATTTGCATCAATGTCCTGTCTGATGTGTGTGTGTTCAGGGAGATTGTGGGAAACAGGTGAAATGGATTTTGTTGCACCAACAGAATTTAATTAGTCCTAGGTACTGTATTTCTTCTTTGTATCTGTGTCGTCTTAATGAAAACTGCAGGGTTTCACAAGGGTAACCAAAGATTTAAACTGGTAACTAGGAGTCTTCGATGAATCCCATGTGTCTGACCCAGAAAGTGATCTGCGGAATCATATGTGAAGTTATGATACTCATGCAGAGAAGAACCTAGACTAAAGATTTGTGTTGAGGACTGATAATTTAAAGGTTGGGAAGTGTAACAAGATGTTCCTCTGAGAGGGGAGATGCTCAGTTTTGAATAAATGGATCTAGTAATTGTTTGCTTGATATACATAGTTAAATGTTGCTTTTTAGTATGATCTCACTTGTTAAAACTATCTTGACTTTAATGTAAGAGTATGCTGTCATCTTTTCCCTTTACTCAGTATTGGATAGGTTACATGTGGAGTACTGTGTCCAGTTTTGGGCTCACCAGTGCAAGAAAGATACAGACTTACTAGAACAAGTCCAGTGCAGGGCTGCATAATGATTAAGGGACGGGAGCATTTTTGGTATGAGGAGAAGCTGAGAGAGCTGGGACTGTTCAGCCTGGAGGAGAGATGGGTGCAGATTATTTTAGCACTGTATACAAGTATCTGATGGGAAGGAATGAAGAAGAGGGAGCCAGATTCTTCTCACTAGTGTTCATTGACAGGCCATGAGGCAATGTGTGCAAATTGAGAAGAAGGAAATTTCATCTGAACGCAAGAAGACACTTCTTTACTTGTGAGGGTGGTCAAACACTGAAGCAGGTTGCCAAAAGGGGTTGTGAAGTTCCAGTCTGTGGAGACATTCAAAACCTAATTGGACACGGTCCTGGACAACCTGCTGTAGCTGACCATGATTGAGCAAGTGTATTGGATTAGGTGATCCAAGAGGTCTGTTCCAACCTAAACAGTTCTGCATTTCTATGATTCTTTGAGTCTGGAGTAGTATATATGTGTTTGGGGGAGACAGGCATTAATATTTTGATTTTATTTCACTCTGTGGAAACTCCAGGAAAATATGGTGTGGGAATGCATAGTGCAGTATCCTTGCAGACTGGGCTGAAGATCCTACTGGGTGGTTTATGAAGACCGTATAAGTGGTAGGTGTTCTCTCCACACATCCAGATGTAGTCTGCTAGGTGTGCCTGAGTTAGATGTATAGGATCGGAATTCCATCTCTCAAGATCTCTCTAGGCTGTTTATGGCCAAGGTGGGTAGTATGTTTTGGAGTGAGGAAAAGAGATCATCTGTACGTGGGCCACCTGAAAAGGCTATGCTTGGATTACTCCTAAAACAAAATCTTGTGAGGAAGGGAGAGTACGTGGGGTGAGAGATGAAGTGAAATGATACCTTATTACAAATTTTCCACCTTACTAATCTTTCTGTCTCCTGAAGATGTGTAAAGGTCCTATTGGTGGTGGCACAAGCGGGGGAGACACCCCGGACCAGGATGTCCTTAATATGCTGGGTTCCGATAATTTGAGCCGTCTGAAGAGGCTGCAGGAAAGATTTGTTGTTCCTCAGAGCATCAGAGGACCTTGTCCACCCCCTTCTTTCCCAGGGTGCCAGCAGTTCTTCAGGGACTTCATCCTCAGCGCAGGAAGGTTAGCTGACCGTGGTTGCGGTTATCTTGGTGAAGTGTGTGGGTGAGTGGGGAACACCACCATGTTGCTCTTGCAGCAGGAAATTGTCCAGAGAGCTTGGGGCATGGTCTAACCTAGGCAAAGCATACCAGAAATGGTTTTAAGATACCTAATACCACACTTAGTGTTCTTGGCTAGCACATGTGGTGAATGTGTTAATAAGCAGGTTCTGTATGGAGCATAAAAGTGTTTGTGTCTGTGTGCTACCTTAGGCTAGACTATATGGTAATAATGCTTCTGCAAAATCATGATACCTTGTCATAGGCCATCAGCATTTCCCAGTGCCAAGGCATGCAGTGCTGCATAGCAAAGGCACTGGACTAGCCAAGTGTTTCTTCTGTGGTAGTGTATGAAACTAAGGAGTTAGAGGATGAAGCCAAGTTCGTGGTTTTGTTTAATGAGTTTTTCATAATCCACAGCATGGAGGAGTTGTGATCTATGGGATATTTGAATCTTAAGTTCAGTTACTTTACAGCTTCTTGCTTTGACAGATCCATATTGTTGTCTTTATGCTGGGACTTGCTAAATAATATCTGTTTGAAAAAGTACAAAGGAAGAGTGGAAAAGAAGGGGGTCAGCCAGTGCTAGTCTTATCCCTTGCTTGCTTGTCTTCAGTCTGTTACATTGCATGTCTGCTGGTGTTTGATACAATTCAAGAGACAAGCCTGAAATTTTGCAGTGTGTTAGATGAGGTTTTACTGCTGTTTTCAGCCCAGTCTGACTCATCATCTTTTGCTGAAGTTACCAGTTCAATCAGCACCTGGTGGACAGTCTGTGCCTGAAGATACTCGAGCTGGATGGCCTTACTCTGGTGGAGCATGAGCACAGTGATGGGGAAGCAGATATGGATGAACAGGTAACCTTGTTTTTTGCAAACATGTCTGGTGGGGATTTCTCTGAACTGTTCCCATACCTAAAGATTTACTAGCTTGATTGTGAGTTGCCTTGGAGCTCCTGCTGCTTTTTTTGCAGAAGAGCTTCTTAATTTGGTTTTGTCGTAACTCTGCAACTTGGTTACAGATGTCTGAGCCCCTTGCCATTTACTTGCATGCTTCAGGGTGCTTCATAGAACTGTGTCATAAGGGATGATAAACAATAGTTTGAAAAGTGAGAAACTCTTGCTAGGTTGTTAGTGACCTGTGTTAGATCAGTGAAATAACTGAGTCCAGCTGTTGCACTCAGTTGCAATAGCTCCTTGTTACTTTTCCATGTAGAAAGATGTTAGAGTGAATTTGTTTCCTCACTCATCTGTACCTATCTGTGGTGTCATAGCTTATAGTCCGTTAGCAAAGTAGCAGCCAAAGGTTCATGAAAACTTGCAGAGCAGTAATAGTATTAAAGGAGGTGATGTGACATCAGCTCTCTGGTCTCTCATTGACTCCAACGTTGTTAATATGAGGAGGTGACTGACCAACTGCTTGTTGTAGAAAGCTCTTGAATTAATTTCTTCTCACTATAAGTGAAGCACTGGAGGCAGACACAACTTAAAATGCTTGATAAATATGTATTTTGGAAACCTACCTTTATTAAAAACAGTGATGAAGCTATGTGGCCATTTTACAATAAGGGAGTGGAAGTTTACTGTAGGTAGTTGCTTTGCCAGTTTAGGGTAGCATTGCCCCAGCTTGCTTTTCTTCATTTCAGGATGAAAAGAAGCGTTTCACTGTGGTTCTGTTAAGCCTACGACTCCTTGGCAAGTTCCTGGGCTTTCTTGTTTTCTTGCCATATCGCACTGTGGAGCAACCAACTAGAGACTTGCAAGACTCTGCAGTAGTGTTAAGAAACCAAGTAAGAAACCAACCTCTTCTAAGAAATCTAACATGGACTTTTGCTTGACAGGCAGGTTTTCTAGTCCAAGGAGTGGATTATGAATAGTTACGCCCTTTCAAAGTGAGCCAGTGGTTCCTGGGATAACGTTACACTGTGCTGTGCCCCTACTGCGTGTTATGAGATTGGGAATAAAGGAAAGAAGAGTTTGTGTAAGCTAGAGAAGAGAGTACTCAGTCTTCTGTTATTTCTGTTAATCTGGGGCTGTCATACCAGAACTCTGACCTAGCTAAGAAGACTTGTATTTATAGTGTAAAATCCAGCTATAAGGAAAGTTTTTGTTAGGTTCACACCCATCTCCTAGCAGTGTGTCATACTGAATCGAAGGAGGCAAGGGGTTAGACCTTGACTCCACTTGTACTTAGTCAGGCTTACAGCCTTACTTTTGAAAGTCCTGATGTGACCTCTGGTTGATGTCATAGTGCGGTTTTTTGCCTCTGCTCATGTGCAAAGGAATGTTTTCATTAACCAGAAAGTCAGCTCTTACTTATACAGAAGATGAAATCTTAGAAAGAAAGGTCATGATGTAGATTAAATTTTTCATGAAGTATCAAAAAGTAACTTCAAGCTTCTGCTTTAACTTCTGTTGTCTATTAAGACCCTGCCTGTACTGGATGTATTGAAGCTGCTGAGACAGTCTATTCGGGATCAACGTTCTGTCCTCACTGTTCCTTGGATTGTGGAGTATCTTTCCCTTGTGGATCATATTGCTCCTTTCCTTGATTACTACAGGAAAGTATTTTGTCTCTTGTTGCAGGTATACAGGTAAGAGCCTGGGAAAGGATATTTAAGAACTTTGCTTGGGTTTGCTTGCCTATTTGGGGTGCCTGGTGTTTGAGAATGCATGCTGGCCCTAATTTGAGATTATTATAAAAAACTTTTTTTTTTGTGCAAATCATGAACACTGCTTATCTTACATAAGGCTGCAAAGGGAGCATATCTGAAACTCAGAGATTAATATTTGATTTTAAATATGTGGTTTTTCATTAAGTAAACAAAATTCTTTAAATCCTCACTCATTCTATATCTGCAGCTGTGAATTTTAAACATTGAATTCAAACCTTAAACCTGTAGGGTCTCCCATGCCTAAATAATGCTCCAGTTTTGTTTCTTATGTACATGAAGAAAACTTGAAGCACATTCTAAAGAGTTACTTAACACTGGCTTTTCCAGTGCAAACTTGAAACAGCATGTTATTCAATTGTGTTCGTACAAAAACAGAGCTTGCTCTCCACTCTTTAGACAGACAAGTAGGGAATGTGTACATGGGGACAAGTAGTATAATTAGAAAGTGAGTGGTTTTGAATTTTTTTTTCCTTAGTGAAAATTAAGCTACTGAAATCTAACACTCTCTCTTGCTGCTTTCGCTGCATGGCAGGTTAATGGTCCTTTCTGAAGATAAGGAGATAAGTTTCCTGAACAAGCTGCTGATCCTTGCAGTCCTGGGTTGGCTTTTTCAGGTAGAGTCTCCTGTGCGCACACAGCTCTTCCCTGAAGAAAAAGCAGGGCACACAACTCAGTAGAAAATAGTACTGAAATGAGTTAAAACACTGCAATACAATAGATTGTTGTTTTGTTGGGATTTTTTACACTGGTGTGGGGTTTAAAAAATTCTCTATATTCTGATGGATATTCATTTTCCTTTAGTGGAGTTGTGTGAAACAGCATTTTTTTTTCCCAATAGGAATTCTAATTGCTGCTGAAACACATTCCGTATTTATAAATCTGCATCCTTGTAAACAAATTGGCAGCTGGCTCCTATTAGAACTGGAAGCACTTGTCACAAAGATGAAGTGCTAGCTGGCAGCCTTCAATTACTGGGGAATTTTTTGCCTGATAAAGGGATGGTGTGTGATGAACTTTTAAAATCCTTTTGTGCCTTCAGTTGGAAGCAAGGTAACTGGTTAGCAGAAACCTGTTGGAAAGGTGAAAGATGCTGTATGAGGAGGGTAAGGAAGGTGGCTTATGTTGTAGTGATCAAGCTAAATCTTTAATCTTATGGAAAGGTTTTCCTTAGGGCAGAGAGCATCCTTGGTGCTAGTTTTTTGGTGGGTGGGACATCGGTGAGATTTTACCGTCCTCTTTATCAGAAGTGGTGTAAGTTACTGACTGCTGTTTGGGTTGTAACTACTGGGGTTTGTGTTTCAGGTTCCATCAGTACCTGAAGAGTTGTTTTTCACCACTGATGTCAGGCAGGAGGGATGGGTGATGGATACTGTGACATCTGCTCAGGCTTTGGTGAGTTAGTGCAGCAGCATGTCCTCTGAGTCTGTGGATGAGGGTGGACCTGCCTCAGGAGTTTAAGATTTCGTGGGGACCTTGGCTTCCGTACAGCTGCATTGAGCATATGTAGCCCAATGGATCTGATGTCGTGGTTTGTCCAAGTGCCTCCGTTCTGTTGCATCCTGGATTGTAAACTCTGTGTGTTACAGCTCTGGGGCTTGTGTCAGGCAGGAGCCATCTCACCTGCTGCAGTGGCTTGCAGATTTAGGTGCAAAGCTATGCTGGAGGATCAGGTGCTGTTTTCCTGCTCACTGATTATTGCAGTAGAAGGTGAGCTCATAGAACTATAGCTCTCCCCAGAAAGAAATAATAGTAATGGTGAACTCAACAGAAAGAGTAAGATGGGACTATAAGAGCAAGGTTGCTGTCTTTGGAGTCACCTGTTTTCCAGATGCATAATAAAGAGTAATTAAACTGAAAATAGTATGAGCAAGCAGAAAAGGAGGTGAGTTTATGGCACGTGTGATGTTTCAGATAACTCCCAGACATGCCAGAGAATACTGAGTATTCCTTGAAAAATGAGAAACGTACCAAGTTTCTCAGTGGCCTTTCTCCAGTCCAAACTGGGATGCATTAGGAGGAGTGTGGCCAGCAGGACGAGGGAGGTTCTCCTTCCCGTCTACAGTCCCCTAGTGAGGCCTCATCTGGAGTACTCTGTCCAGTTCTGGGCTCCCCACTCGAAGAAAGATGAGGAGCTGCTGGAGAGTGTGCAGCGGAGGGCTACGAGGATGGTGAGGGGACTGGAGCATCTCTCCTATGAGGAGAGGCTGAGGGAGCTGGGCTTGTTTAGCCTGAAGAAGAGAAGGCTGAGAGGGGACTTAATATATGCTTACAAATGTCTGAAGGGTGGGTGTCAGGAGGATGGGGCCAAGCTCTTTTCAGTGGTGCCCAGTGACAGGACAAAGGGCAACGGGCGCAAACTGAAGCACAGGAAGTTCCGCCTGAACATGAGGAAGAACTTCTTCCCTCTGTGGGTGACGGAGCCCTGGAACAGGCTGTCCAGGGAGGTTGTGGAGTCTCCTTCTCTGGAGATATTCAAGACCCACCTGGACAAGGTCCTGTGCAGCCTGCTGTAGGTGACCCTGCTTTGGCAGGGACTAGATGATCCACAGAGGTCCCTTCCCACCCCTACCATTTTGTGATTCTGTGAAAATGAGGAGTGAGTTTGCTAAGATAAATGTGTGTCTGGTTCTAATTAGAAAGTTCTGTTTTGTACTGTCTCTTCAGTGGCAAGAGAAGATGCAGAGATCACCTGATTTGTTTTTGTTGTGTGTGTTTTCTTCTTTTTTTCCAAATGAGTGCAGTACACACTGCCTGTGTGGATGGGATCTGAAGTTGCTTTTCTTCCCATGCCTCTGGCTGCACTGTGTAATACTGGGGTGACATTACTCCACAGCAGCCGTGTTCCAGCGAGTCTGGGTGAAGATACCTGTGGAGGTGTAATGCACAGCAGATGTGCCTCATTTATTCTCCTCCATGGATAGGTTTCTCTGTTACAAGTAGCAGCTGTGGCAACAGTCCTGGTTCCCATCTGTAACCATCAGCTTTCAGCTGGGCTTTGGCAGTGATCAGAAGAAAAGGTTGAGCTGCGCTAACTGAATGTAGAGCAGTTCGTTGTGTGCTACAGGGCTGGACTGAACACTTGGGCTGCAAAGTTCATAATTTTACTGTGGATTTGGAATTCAGTTATTTTTATTGTTTTCCTGGAAAGGCAGTTCCAAAGCCTGCCTGTGACCATGCATATGGGATTTCTGACTTGCTGAAGACTGTCTCCTGCTGTGTCCTTTCAACATTTCCTTTTCTCACCAGGACTCTGTACCCTTGGTGGATCAGCAGTTACTTTATACCTGCTGCCCCTACCTTGGTGAGTATTTTATTCATATTTACTATATAAATAAAATATATTAGTATGTGTTTATTTTTATATTGTATTTGTATTTGTCCGTTGGTACTGTGAGTCCTTGGATCATCTTTCTTAACCCTCCTCACAGCTTCAGGTCTCAGTTGTGTATGAGTCAACCTTGCTAAAAAGCTGTATTGCAGAAGCTCATGCAGCTGTGAATAGTATCTGGTGAAGCTGGGGGAGGGAGGCTACACAGTCAGGATAGTTGATCTACAGAGCTTGAATAAAGAGGGACAGGGGAACTCATCCTTCACAAGCTGGAAGAAAGCATTATAAGGAGTAAGTGTATAACTTTTCTATCGTAGGCAGAGGTGTTTGTACTGTGAGGAATGTCTTGATCCTTGAGCGTATTTCTGCTGCCAGGCAGCGGGGAGAAATCCTTTTGTGCCCTGGTGCTTTATCAGGTGGTGGTTTGAGAGGTCTTTTTCCTGGGATCTGACTGCCATTAGTGAAATCCCTCTCTGTAGACAGTAGAGTCCCAGATAGTGGGATGGTGCTCTGCTTCTTGGGACTTGGCTGCTGGGAAAACCGTATGTTAAACCTGCATCACAAAAGCTTCTAGGGGTTGAACATGTCTTCAAGCTTTTCCCGTGGTGTTTTGTCCTGACCCTGTTGGAATTTTGTGTAACTCTGCCCTGTTGTCCTTGTAGACTGTACAGTTCCCCCTTGCCATGCTAAAAAGGGTTGCATAGAAATGACTGCTCACTGATCCTTCTGAACAAGTCCTGTGTGCCAGTTAAACGGGTGGAATGCTGCTCAGCTTTTTCTGAAACTTCAGCTTTCACAGAAGCTGAGACAATCTGCTCTGGAAACAGGACTGACAATGTGAAAGTCTCTCTCTTGAGTTTTGATTTGTTTCCCTTGATTATGGGGATAATGACTGCTTTTGCATATTTTTCGTTATAGGTGAGCTGCGGAAACTGCTTGCCTCTTTCGTGGCTGGTAGTGGAGCAAAAAATGGTGGCTTTGTAAGGAAGATCACTCCCACAGCTGCAGAGTCCTTGGTACCCAAGGCTTCTGTCACACAGCGGAAACTGCAGGTAGTGAAACTAGGGAGCCACAAGGGGAAGCAGGGCAGGAGAAATTGCTTCTGTGAGGGAAGGGTACACAGTGGTATCCTAATGGCAGAGAAAGAAAGGAGTGGGCCTGGGCAGCAGGGAACATTGTGTTTAACAGTTGGATATCCTTACTCCTCATTCCTCTGTTATGGTCATGTGCCTGGGATACCAGGTGGGTGTTGAAATCCAGGTAAATTCAGTAAACATTCTTGCAACTGGAACAACTAGCCTGTTTCTCTTCCTGCCTGTTCTTTAGCATACAATCTTGGTACGTTTCTCATACTCTGTTTTGGTTAGATTGCAGCCACGCTTTGCACCTAAAGAATGAACTGTGTAGGAGCCTACATGATTACCAGCCTGTAACTAAAAGGGAGGATCCTTTCTTTCCAAAAAGAAAGCCTGTATGGTGACTCACTACTCATAGGTGCTGTCAGAACTCTTCAATTCTTCCCTTTACTGGGCATTTGCTTTTGCAGCTTCATAAACTCTGATAATGAGCTTTGGGTTAAATGGTTAGAAGGAAATAGGGAGCAAATATTTTACAGGGGTATTGAATGCTACAGTAGCAGAAAATTCTAGTGTAGGCAAATTGCATGTGTTTTAGCACAATTCCAGATGATACTTCTGTGCATTCCTGTGTTGAGGCGAGGAGGATCTGGGTGGAGTGCTCTAATCAACTGTAGCCCTTTTCTCTTGAACAGGTAGAGTTGGAACAGGCCTTCTTCCACAACCAGCCTCCCTCCCTCCGGAGAACAGTTGAATTTGTGGCAGAGAGGGTGGGATCCAACTGTGTTAAGCACATCAAGTAAGTGCTGGTGGTGTGTTCTGCATCTTAAGAAGTAACTTTACACTACTGAGGCAAAGATTTGATCCATGAAAATTGGGGGTGGGGGGAGGAAGAAGAAAGCTTCCCTCGGATTATGTTCTATAGCAGAACACCAAGGCTGTATTAGGCTATGACAGTGGGGTCCAGCAACATCTGCTTGCCGTCATAGAGGGGAGTTTGTGAAGGGATGTAAAGAGAAGGGTTATATGACTGGGACACCTGGAATGTGAACATAATACATAATTTTGAGACTTTATATCCCTTTCAGAACGTTCTTGCTAATGATAGGAAAATCTCAGGTCAGAAGGTACCTCTGGAGGTCATCTGATCCAAACTCCTGCTCTAAGCAGGGCCAGCTTTCAAGTTAGGTCAGGTGGCTTGGCAGCTTTTCCAGTTGAGCTGTCAAAACCAAATTACAATGCTTTATTTTCCCAGGCTTTGTGAAAAATGTTTCCTTATATCCTCTCAGAACTTCCGTTGTTCCAGCATGTGCATGTTGCCTGTCAACCTTTAGCTGTACACTTCCTGGAAGTGTTGTTCTGTCTTCTCTATAACCCTTCCTTCTCCCTTCACCTTCTCTTCATCAGGCTAATTGAAGATGGCTCCCACAGTCTCCTTGTACGTCATGTGCTCCAGAATCCCAGCTATCTTAGGGATTTTTTATTTTTTTTTCTTGTCCTGCAATCACTCAGATTGTCCATGGCTTTCTTGTACTGGGTCCCAAAGCCTGGGCAGTGTACTCCAGACACAGCCTTACAGTGGCGAGGGAGGCAGTAACTTCCCTTGACTTGCTGGCTGCGCTGTTGCTAATGTCAGCCCAGTATAAGGTTGGCCTTTTTTGGACACTGCTAACTTGTTTAGCTTGTCTGCTGGGAACCCCAGATCCTTTCCTGCAGAGTTGCTCCCTAGCCAGTAGACCTCAGCCTGTACAGGTACATGGTCACCACCCTGTTGTCAGCTCATTTCTTTACCTTGTCACCGTCCTTCTAAATGGCAGCCCTGCCCTCCAGCATGTCACTCATCAGCTTGCTGAGAGTTGAAGACATTAAACTGCCAGCCCACAAGGAATGCTGGTTGTAGTGGGCTGCTGTTGCATCTTTGAGCTTCTGACCCCTGTCCATTGAGAGTATAAGGGTATTACTGCCAGAAAAGATACCTGTAACCGTGTATGTTTCTATTAAAATGTAAAGGCTTTTGCCTCCTGAGTCTTAGTACTGTTTTGATAACTTCATTGCTGCTTTCTTCCTTACAAAAAGAACAAGGAGATGGTGCAGTACTAAATGCAGTGTGATTAATTCTCTTTTTAGCAGAGTGGTTTATTGCATTTGTGCCTGAGAGAGATGGGTATGCTCCTAAACTGGGGGAAACAGCTGGTTACAGTTAGTGTGCACTGTTAGTTGTGTTGATTTCAGTCTGTCTGATTCTTCTTGTGTTTTTTTACAGAGCAACACTGGTAGCAGAGTTGGTTCAAAGGGCTGAAGTCATGTTGCAGGATAAGGTGAAGGAGGAGGATGCTAATCATGACAAGTTGCTTGAAGAGGTGTGCGCTCATCTGTATGAGGAAGGGGCCCAGGCACTCGTCAAAGGCGGAGAGTAAGGAGGAAAAGTTACTTAAACTTATGTCTTCACATCTCTTCTTATTGCAGAATCTATAAGCCTGATTCGGCTTGGCCTGTCACACTCAGGTTCTAGTAATTATGAACCCAGACCTCTGCTCTTCTTAGGGTGACTGCTGCCCCTCTAGCCAGCTAATGTAGGATGGAATAAAGGCGCTGTGTCCCGCTGCATCCAGCTCCGGACGGACATCCACTGCCACTATTGCATTTCCCCTCTCTGGAAAACAGACTATTGCAGCTATTGCAGCTTGGTGGCTTGTAGTTGCTTTTTTGTTGTCTGGTTCGTTTGGTCTGACTTATTTCACTGCAGTCTTCCAACTGGTTTTGACTGTAAAAGAGCGTGTGAAAGTTCCTACGCTGATGAACTGCTGAGTGTTGTCCAAGAACTTTGACTAGTCCTGTGGCGTGTTTTCTTTCCCTTCTTGCAGATTTTGCAAAAAGAAAGGTCCTGAGGCAGTAAGGGTGTTATTGCCAGAAGAGACATCTGCGGCAGTATGTATTTTCACTGAAACTTACTAAAGTCCTTGACTTTGTTTGGACCATTTCCATTTTTTCCGTTGCTGCTTCACTTATCTCTTAATAGCCGAGGACAATGGAATCTATTGATGCCGTCCTGTGAGGACCATTAGCTAAGGAGAGTCACCTCTGTCAGGCTGCCTTGGATATTCTGGCTAAAGTGATACTCTAGCCAGTAGCTGACTGTTGAGACTAGAATGGTGTTTAAATTACATTCATCTTGAAAGGATAATGCTTTTGTTTTAGCATCAACTTCCTCAAGAGTTAATGGGGTTTATGTGGGGTTGATGAGGGTTTGGAAATCAAAATGGGTCAGTCCTGTTGCTCAGAGTAGCAGTTCCCACAGAGGTGATGGTGCTCTGTTTAAATGTTGCATGCCAAAATTAAGCTTATTCCCTCTAGACTCCCTTCTGACTTTTCACTGACTGTAGTGCTGTGGCTGGCAGTAAATCTCCTATCACTTGTTATCCTCCCTGTAAAGGTTTTAAGTAGTGCAGAAGACATTGCAGTGGAGCTGGCTACTGAGAAAGCCTGTGGCTGGCTTTCTGCCAACATTGCAGGTGAGTCTCCTTACCCTGCACTGGGACTTCTAACCTGGATATTGTACTTTTTCTGAGATCAAGGGGTAGAATTTACTCCAGTGTTAGAAAGTACTTGGTCCTACTCATTTTTCTTTTAGTGGGAAGCATGCAGTTGCTCTGTCCCTCCTTGTTTAGGAATAAGAGGAATGATTTCTAGCTTCAAGAACCTTCTTCAGGGATTTTTCAGACTTGGCCCATGTAAGTGATTTTTAGTTATGGAGGCTCGTAGGCTGGTGAGAGTGCATGCTGTGGAAAGCTTCTTCTGAAAATGTCATCTAGGCTGTAGTTGTCTTAGCACTTCAAATGTATCATACAGACAGCCGCTCTCAAGCCATCTCATGGTCCACATGTGCAGAGTGCTTCTGAAATCTTCTTCTGTAAAACAAAAACCTCTTGGACTGGGTGCGTTTTCAGCAAGCTGAAAGCAACTGTAGTCCTTTTACTCTGTAGTAGTGCCCTGGCAACTCTTCAGAATCTCTGAAAACCCATTGTTTTAGGAGGTTCTGCCAAGAATCTGGGGAGGAACATCCAGCACCATGTGTAGCAGCAGGAGTTTAGTGTTTTGGATGCTGGTCAAAACTTATTTTGGTAGAAGACATATGGCTTTCATGGGCATCAGTGGTTGAATTGGTATAATCACGCTGATGCAGCTTTCTACTTCGGCATTGCTTCCTGGCTTAGCTACTGTGTTCCTTACACCCACTGAAATGTTTTGATGGAAAATGAGATCAGTTGCCAGGGGTACCTGGTGATAGTGAGTGGCTGCCTTTTAGAGCTGTGGGTTAATAATGCTCTCTGCACCTGTGCCTCTGCCCATTCTCAGAGTGAGAAGGGTTTGAAAGTGTAAACTGTCCTTCCCTCATTCGCTGTGGCCCTCGGAGTGGGAGCCTAACAAGGGTAGTGTGAGGAAACAGTTGCCTGCCTCACTAGAGAGAAAAGCTGAAGGGCACAGGATTTGTTCCCTGTTCTTTGTAGCACTCATCAAAAGAGAAGTGAAGGCAACCTTCAACAGAATGCTGAAAGTCCCAGGACTTCCCTTGCCCGGTGAGGAGGCTTTGGAGTTGAGAAGGGACTGCCCTCCAGGCTGTCAGCACTGTGCTCCGTTTCCCTCCCAAATCATCAATGAGATAAAGGTACGTAGCGTGCACTTCCTGGCTTGCCCTAACTCCCTCTTTATTTTTGACCTTGGTGGGCGGGGTTGGAGATGTTTTTTGGTTTTGTTTTTCTTTTTGAGGGGCTGTTCTGGTTCTAAGGAAGTGGCTGTGAGGACTGTTTAGGAAGCATGATGGAAAGGTCTCATGTTTGTTTCATCCCCCTGCTCGCTGTCTGTCTGTAGATCAGCGTTCCCTGGCCAGGACTACTATCTCAAATACAGGATTTCTGGTAGTGTGGCAGTGGCCTTTGTGATACGGGTAGCATAGAAACCATAGTGTGGCGAGCGTTGTGTACGACTGTGTGCTGAAGAGTCATTGTGTCAAAGTAGCTGCTTTTTTGTAGAGCTACTCTTTTTATGGAGAGCCTCCTGGTCTCTGTTCAGAGTATTTGCTGTTGGTTCTTCCGGTTCTTGGTAGTCTGTCCCATCTTATACACCAGGAATTCTACATGGAACTAACTTTCAACAGATTCATGCAGATTCATCTGACAGATTTTTGCCAGTCTGCAACTGCACCTTCATTCAGCTATAATTAGGGAGAATGAGAATATCTTAAAAAGAAGGTGATGGTACGGACTTCATTTCAGCCTGAGATCCAAGCAGGCTTCTATTCAAGCTGGTTCAAACTATATTTTGGTCTTTTCTCCCAGGCTTTTAAAACGCCACTGTTCTTGTAAAAAATCTTGCAATTATATAACCTGTGTGAGTAATGCATGAGGAAAATAAGAAATCTAAAAGGCTCACTTTTACTGTTATGTATTCTGACTATTTTTTGCTACTTCTTGTCTGTTTGAGTAACAATACTGGCTATCACTGTCATCACATTCCCAGCAGTTTTGTGAGTGCTCATCCTTTAACATTTTTTTGCTTGAGATAAGATAAAGAGAGGAGGGTAAGGTATGTGAGCAAACTGTTGCTTTTTGAAGATATTTTTGTATGGCATCTTGAGATGCAGCTTCTAAAATATATTTTTGTTCTTTTGATTTCCATCCTGGGTTTCTGATACTGGGTAGTAAATTGCTGGTGATGGAAAGTGCTACTGTGTTGTCGCGTTAAAGGGGGGGGTAAGGGGAGTCTGATAAGCGGCAAAAGGAGAGCCCTCCCATTGAGTCACGAGGTTCAGAGAAGATCCCCTTGCTTTCTAAACTCTCTCTCAGAGGAGAGTCTAGGTGTGGCTGGATCAACTCCTAGTCCCAGACTTGGTCAATCGTTTATGTCTAAACAGTTATCACAGATTCGGAATTGCCGTTGATAAATTCACTGTCTACAAAAGTTGAGCTCAAAGTAATAGTTTAGCGCTTTAGTTAACAATGTGTTCCCGGGGATACGTCTGACAAAGTCAGAGGCGCGACTCTTACCAAAGAGGCGTCCCTTCTTGGAGGGGGAAGAGAGGTTCAGGCCCGTCAACCCGTCTGTCAGGTGAAGTTCTTGCTTGGCTCCTCCTCCCCAAAGAGAGTTTTCAAGTGCCAATTTTTATATGTTTGGAAATCTTTTTGCGAGGTGGGACTAAGTCAATTATTGTGTATTGATTGGCTTTTGGCATGGAATTTCGTGTCGTCAGAAGCGGGACTCAGCAGTGTGACAGCCTACGGAGCGGGCATCTTGGTATGTGCATCCGCGGGCCATCTGTGCTTTATCCAAAGCAATCTCTGGCTGCACCACCTCCGCGGTGCCCCACAGATCACTGGGGTTACAGGGATGGGCTATCCCCCCTTACTTTTGTCTGGTAAGATAAACACCAGTTAATTACTTCCTTTGTTAGCTCTTTGGCTCTTGACACCTCAGTCGAGAGACGCCTCAGTCCGTTTGTCTTTCGTTTTGCATTTGACAAGTCCAGCAAGGCCATCGGTTACACGCATGTAAAATTTGCTAAACCAGTTTTCATGCTATAACCCTGTTAGTGTTCTTCATACTCTCCTTTTATTGACACTGAAGCTACCTTGACAGTGTGAGAGAACTCTGGATTTCTGTAGCACTTCTACCCTGAACTTGCTCACTGGACTATCAGATTTATCTAGAGCTTTCAGAGCCAATTACTTTTAAGGAGGATGAACTGGTTGCCCTATTGACTTTGACTTCATAATGTTAGTGAAAACTACATAGAAAATCAAACCTAGGTAAGTTTGTGAAAAATTCAGCTTTAATCTGTCTTACAAAATGAGGAGGACACTGCCTTAATTTTTTTTTCTTTTTTTAATGAGGACCTGAGGACTTATTTATGAACTGCTCTATCAGAGGTCCAAAGATCTGCTGTGGAAGTGCAGGATACTAATAGGTGAATTACTGCTGTCTTTTTCATCAAGGATGTGCTCTGTGTTGCTGTGGGCCCACGGGATGAGGGTGAAGTGATTGACTGCGTCTGGCTGGAGAGCCTGCTAGGAAGATTGAGTCAGACACTTCGATGCAGAAAGGTAGAAGTAAAAAAAAAAAAAGCAACAAAAAAGCCTTGGAGCACTCTAAGCTGTCTTCATACCTGTAAAGTTGTTAGCTTGCCTTGCCTCACGCTTGAGTTCAGTTGAATGGCTTCTGTCTGAACTCCGAGTGACAAAGCTGCACTGAGGTTTTTGTAGTGTGCAGATCTGCTTGTTACTTAAAATCAGCCTCTGTGGGTCCTCTTTTCATATATCATCTTTTCTTGTCTTTCAGTCTTAATGGTCTCCTGATTACAGCTCTGTGCTTCTTGCTGTAAATTGCCTGCTCTCCTCTGATATTTTTATCCCTTGCGAAGCCCTGTTTTGTCCGGTCTGCGGTGTGGGGACAGAGATACAACTTTTTTTTGTGTGTTTTCCAGTTCATGTGTCCCACATCAGAGCAGCAGCTGGCAAAGTGCACAGTTGAGTTGGCTTCTTTGCTGGGTAAGTCAGTCATGATAAGCTATTTAAGACTGAAATGTGTTATTACAGTTCTCGTAAATCCTTGGGGTCAAAGACTTCAGTACTTGGAGCTCATGGATGTTTGATTCTCTGTGGTGTAACTGAGTCTGCAGATTTTTTTTTTGTCAGTTTGGATGGTTGCTCTCACTTCCTTCCACCTTCTGTAAAACAGTGTTATACTGTGACTAACCATCCTTCAGATCCGGTGTTCTATTCACATCTCCATTGTTTTTCATTTATTGATTCATCCATTTAAATATGGGATAAGTTTTCCAGTATTTCTGCCTCTGAAAAGTTGCGGCTGGGGTTTTTTTTCCCCCTAAAAGTAAGGGCCTGTTCCCTTAAATTACATTTTTAGGGCTCTTTTTGGAGAGAGTGGAGAACTAACTTGTTTTCTGTGTATTGTGACTTCTGTGAGCATTTTCAGTATTTTTTTTTTCCTCTTGCTCTAATGTGTGAAGTATAGTGGTTTTTCTCAGTAGGAGCTGGTGATGTGGATGCAGGTGTTTTCTCCCTGGGCAGCCTTCTAATTTCCTGGTTCCTTAAGAACCTTCTTAAGAGGATTCATTCTTTCAGAAAGCAGTTCACATCTGAATATTGTGGAGGCTCATTCTGAGGGGCAGCAGTGTAAGTCTGCCCCATTCCCTTAGTCTGTACCAAGGAAGATCCGCTCTCTTCCGCCTGTGTATGTTTAGCTGCATACGCTGTTCGGCTCCACTTCCACCTGTATGAAATCATGCAGCTCTGCCTATAGTCAAAACTGTGAACGACTGTTTAATCTGTTTGTAGATACAAATGTTGTTTTACTGGGTTACTCTCCTCTCCCTTGGAGTAACACCTAGGTCCTCTTTTATTAAACATTAGGCTGACCTTTATTTAGTTAGTTGTCTTTCAAGGCTTGGGGCTATATGCCAACTGAGTGGTACTCTTATTATCTGAGTAATATAAATCTCTTCCTATGTAATACTTAGGTGCATAGTTTCAAAGCTTGAAATTTTACACTTTTCTAAACTCCAGTCCTCTTAGGTTCACTGTTTACAATCACTAAGTGTTTTTACGTCAGTGGTTGTTTAGATACCAGCTATGCAAAATGTGCTGTTGGACCAGGATGACAACTATAAAAGGGAAATAATGCAGCTATAGAAGTTCACCTTTCTTCCTTTTCTTCCAGTTTCAGATCGTGTTCCTCTGAGTCTTGGGATCAGGTCCCCAGAGAAGAGCTCCGAGAGGCTGCGTGTAAAGAATGATCCCTCCTGTGGCCTTCTAAAGCTGCTGCTTTCGGTCTGGAAGGAGGACTTTGGGACACCTGTTCCTGTGCAGCTGATCTTCAGCAAGAAGAACATCGGTTATCTTGCAGAAGTTAAGCAGCGAGAGGTAAAGCTTGTATCGATCAGTGGAGCTGCCAGTTACCCACTCTGGTCCAATGGTCTGATACGTTCATGTAGGAGTTCTGCCTGCCCGCAGCGTTAACTGATCACTCGCGCGAATGAGGCCAGCAGGATTTGCTCTGCTGGTAGCTGGCGTTGTTTCTGCAGGGGCAGAGAAAAAGAGGCCGACGTACTCCTTGTGTGGAGGTGTTTGACACCTGTCTGGGGGGCTATTGGGAGGGCAGTTTTATTTAGGAACAAATGGCAAAAAGGCCCATTTGGCCTGGGGCATTATGAAGACTGAACACATGTGATTTTGCAGTTGGTTGCATTCATGTGTCTTACCAGCTTTCATTGTTGTATGAATCTTGTCAGAACCCCAGCTATGAACCATATTTACTTGCAGGCTAAAACCAGCTTATTTCGGAAGGTCAGAAAATAATTTTTCAGGCTGTTCTTGAACACACAGGAATTGAATACTTGGTGTGTTTGGAAGCTGAGGTTTAGAAATGTTGAGACTTTATGGTAGGATTCAATGTGTTAACTAAAGGAATTTTGTTCACTTTTGGATGTTGCTCTTTGGTGACCTTCATTGCTACACTCGGATAAATAATGTGCTTTCTCCTGTCGCTCCTATTTTGATCCAAGAAGAAAATCATGAATTGTATAGGGACAAAGAAATGCAACACAAAATCCATTTCTTTTGGAGTTGTTGATATTTTTTTCTCTTCTGCAGTGGGATTTGTTCCTTTTTGTGCTTCATGGTCTTGTAGAATGTGAACTAATGAGAACTAGCGAAATAAAGAGTTGCTTGCGTAGCCTTGAAGAGCTCCCTTGGCCCTCTGTAAGTAATTAGATGTGTGTGAGCAACAAGTGAAGTAAAAAGTAAAGCTACATAAACCTTGTAGTTCTGTTTCATGTAGATGAAGCCCATAACCTTCCCTGTCTATACTTCCTGCTTAATGCAGCAGCAGGATTGGGTTCCAACAAGCTTGGTACTGTGTTTGGCTGAAATCTGTACTTGTGTGAATCCCAGCATTTCTAATGCTGTGGAGACATTTCCCAGAAAGTTGTAAACTGGTTTGGAGACCAACTGGCTCGGTTACCAGCTCTCAGCTCTAGCTTGAACGTGTTTGCCATGCTTTAGCTAAGAGCAATGTGATGGGAAGGGTCTGAACTGACCAGACTTGCATGTAAACCTCTGTGCCTCCCACCACCAGCACGTGAGGAGTCAGACGGATTCTAACCAGAGTTAAAATGTAGGAAATGGCCCAAGTCCCTCGCTGCAACATGGATGGTATTTCAAGGCCGGTTGGCACTTGCCCCTTGGAGAAGTTTAACCATTTAAGCTGTGATCTTTTCTGAGAAGGGTGTGGGCATTAGAGGGGAGCCTGAGCGTGTAGACCGGACCTACAGGCTTCCATCTTCACGATCGGTTTTGTAGCTTGCCTAGGTTTCTGCACTGGAAAACCATCAACAACATGTTTAACCTTGTGAAGGTCTCTACTAGAAAAATTAAGTAAGCCTCGTTGTTGACATTTGTTAGTAAGGGTTCTCTGGTTTCTATCTGTTTGTTACAGGATTTCTTAAAAAAACTGGAAATGCTGTCCAGAGTGTTTCTATCAGAACATCGTATAGAAGAGCCCAGGACTAACCCTTGTGAGCTGACCAGGCAATCTCTAGGTACCGTGACAGCACAAAGTTAGTGGAGGTGGACTCTCTGTGGGCAAAAGTTACTAATGAAGATGCAAATGGACTTTTCAGTGTTTCTGGATGCGTTGTGAGCTCTTTGCTGGCAGCACACTGCAGAGAAGAGATGATTTTGTGCAAAGCCTGCACAGGTCTTTCTGTTCATGGACATTTTGCCCTGGTGACTATGCTGAAGGGTTTACATCAGCAAATGGATCTCCAAGTCAAAAGTCCTTCAAGCACCTTGATCGTGGCTCCGAGCAGCCCTTTTTTAGACTCTCAGACACTTTTTGTATTTGCGCAGCAACAGGCTGTGACCAAAGCCAGGAATTGATTCATGTGGACAAGTTACTTGGTGATCAGAGGGAGGGTTTCCTGGTGGCTGTCTCTTCTCTTAAGGGGATTTCTCATGCTGTCTTTTAACAACATCTATACTGTCAGGGGAGGGAAGAGGTGAACCTGTATGACATGGAGATGAGCCTATATTTATTTTTCATTGTAAGCCCAATTTCAAAGGTGTGATTTTAATTTTTTAAGGCTCATTTTGAAGTTAAACCATATTAAATATATACACCAGAACATTGATGGCATTATTCTTAAAGGATGTAGATGCCTAAGTGTGTTTCCATCTCTTGTTGGAAATAGAACTTCTAATTTCCTGGGGTTTGTAATAGAAATAAGGAAGAACATATCTGTTTATGCTTTTTTTTTACTGAAGACAGATGACAGTATTTTTTAAGACACTTTTATAGTACGTTAACATAAATGGCATCTGGGTGCTATGTTTTTTATAATCCTCCTTGCCTTGAAGAGTTTGGGTTTTATCAGACAGGAGGTGCTGCAGCAAGAATACCACAGCCTGGAAGAACAGACAAAAAAAAAGTAGTGGAAAGGCACAGTGACATCCTCCTGCGAGCTGGTGGAATCCTTCTCGTGGAGGACACCCGGTGCCCCCCCCCAAGTTTTTCCTTAAACTGGGGTTTGTGGCAGGACTGATGGTGACTGGGAGGAGATCATTAGGTGCTCATTAGCTGTCCCGTGGGATGTCATCCTCCCTCCCCCAGCAGTGAGGATATTTCCTTTTGTCTTGGGTTTTTCCAGAAAGCAAATACTGTGCTAGGTAAGAACAATATCTGGACAAAGTGAAGCCCAGGGCTTTTTAGCTTGCTAATTAACTTACCTCTTCCTTGTATAAGGTGAGAAAAGGTAATGTCTTGGAGTCAGTGATTTAAGAAAAACCACAACCAGAAGTAAGTAGGTGGAACTGGGGCCTCTGTTAAAAGAAGTGTGATACAGAGAGAGAAAGTGTAGAGGCACATCAGTGTCTGAACTGTACTGAGATTTTTCCGAAGCAGTGTGCTGAAAGATTTGGCGTGTTCCACCCCCATGCTGCCTTTGAGGGGTTTTCTGACATGAATGAAGCGGGGGTCCCTAAAAGCAGGTGTGCTGTGGATGCAGCAAGGATGGGTAATACAAACTGCACTAGCAAAGTACACCATATCATACCGTACCTGCTCCCTGAGGCTATTATGTGACATTTTGCTGCAGATCTCATTTGAAGTTGTTGTTTGTGATAATAAACATGATTAAATGGCCTGTTTTGTGTTCAAGCTGTCGATATATAACCTCTTTGTACTGGGGCTAAGTACAAAAAAGGTGCCTTGCTCTATAAAGCATGGGGCAGAGAAAGTACAGTAATCTCTCCTGTCCAGCCGCTGCTGCTTTGCTTGTACTGAAATATAACTTTATTTTGTTATATAAGGGTGGGTGGGGGTGGTGGAAGGGGGGAGAAGCTGGAATCCATAATGGTAAAAGAGGTGCTCTCGGCTCTGGAACTGACTCTATTTGGGTATTGTAAAACTGTTTCTGTAGATACCATGGCCACAGCTGTTTTCATGAACTCAGCATACCCGAGTTATCCTTCTCTAACACAACATGCTTGGAAATCTGTGTTTAAAAGGTGACCAAGCCCCAGGAGCGGAAGGCAGTCAGTTCTTCAGCAGTTTTTTCAAGAAACACCTCTGTCTTCATGTTTTTCCATCTTAATGCAATTCCTGTTGTTCCTGGGCAGCCCGTGGTACTCGGCCTTGGTTACTCTGTAAAGCAAAACACTCCACGTTGTAACCAAACCTCAGGCACAATCATATCGCACGCTGGTTTCTGCCTCAGGATGCTCAGCAGTGGGGCCACTCTCGTGAGGATGCAGACCCCTCCATGCGAGTGCTTCAAGCATTGTACCTGCTCCCTGCACGCTGCCCCGTGACACAAGCAGCGCTGCGAGGAGGAGAGCAGTAGGGAGCAGAGCTCACAGCAAGCGAGGTCAGAGTGTGTGGCCTTCCTTCTGTCAGGCTTTCCTACTGCAAACTCGCAACTTGAAAGAACATGAGGAAGAATGGCACGAGGTTACCTTCCTTCTGGATGTTCAGGTCAGAGGAGTTGTGTAACTGGACGCGGGAGGAAGCTTCAGGCAGCGCCTCATTTCAAACCAAACCCCTTTGCTTGGATGAGGCGCTGCGTCACAGAAACCAAAGTTAAGCAGTGAGCGGCTGCTTGACTCTTGTGCCACGAAGCCGTGTTCCATGCTCTCGCCTGGGCAGGTAGGTAGGAGACCTGCAGCTGTTATCACAAGCCAGCCTTCGTGTCACTTCTCCACCAGCACAGTGCCATAGATGGGTATCCTAGCTGGCGCAAAATAATGCGGGGCACGTTTTCTTGTGTAGAAAATACCATTTATTGTGGATATGAAAATAGCAATCTTGATTGAGAGCAGGGATGCAGCAGTAGGTGATACAATACAATTGGTTTGATCATCTACTGCTCAGCAGTAACTTGCAGGAAGTTGGTTTTTGCTTGTTGTAGATTAACAAATTCGATATCTGCTGGGTTTTTATTTCTTCCTTCCAAACCAACCAATGCTGTACATTAACAGGTACCATAAAATGTTATATTTGCAAAATAAAACATTCCTATAAATAGGCTTTTTAGTATCAATTGAAGATTGTATGGGAAAAAAAAGTTACATTAATACCAATAAAAATAAAACTTAGCTTTGACAGCATATAAAAATGCTTCAAAACAAGCATATATAAATAACTTAATTTGTAAACATAGCAAAAAATCTTACGTATATATAAAAATAAACATCTGGTGCACTGTACAGTAAGACACTATCCTTCATAGGCACTGGCGTCGTTGATCAACAGGAGTCCCCCTAGATGTTTTTCCTACAAAAACTGCTTTATCACTAGTGCCGTGTCCAAAATAAAAGGGAGAAAAATAAGTGAAGCACTGAGCAAATCTTTTGTAGATGGTATGAAGCCCTCCCCTGCTGCCTCCGGAAAGCCACAGAAGCAGCACTGGGGACAGAGCCAACGCATCGTGCTGCTGTCTCTGCTCACTTTTCCTAGGGCGTTGATGCCCTGCCGCCTTCGCGCTTCCTTTCTGGGTTTCCACCGAGAGAGGGGACTCTAAGACAGGGTGCAACTCTGCAAAGCCGCCTCTGCGCTCGCTCGGCTGCAGAAAACTTTGTGACAGATTGCCCCTTTTTCCTTTGTTGGGGTATGGAAGATACATGGCCCTTGGGGGGGGGGGGCATACCATGACTCAGCTTGGCAGGCTTTTAAGAAAAGGCTGAGCCTCACCAAAAGAGAACAGCAATATATTGGTGTTAAGATTGTAACCATGACCAGCTAAAGAGATAACAAAGCAACTTTGTAAGTGAAAGGTTTTGTTGTCCTACGGGGGGGGGTGTGGGGGGGGGGCGCCTTGGGCTGGTATTTCTCAAAAGTGCTATTTTCTTAAATATCAATTTAAAATAGTTATTATTGTTTCTTTTAAAACTTAGTAACAGGAAGTAACACAGAAGCTGAGAGCCAAAATTACACCTGTGCAAAGATATAGTGAAAGTAGATCTTGGCTCTTGAACTCCAAGGTGGGACGTGCAGCTGACGTCACCGTATGCTGAGAAAACGCATCTTTTACTGAAAGGAAGCGTGTTAAAGTAGCAGATGCTGATGCTGGTAAGGTGGCTGCTTGAATACATATTTCTCACTTGACAAATTTAAAGTGCAACAGCTTCTTGAGGAAAGTGGGCTTTTCTGAGCTAAAGAAAGCGTATCACAGCAGCTTTTATTGCTTAGGTAAGATATTGCAAGTGATTCTTCATGGTTGTGCTGAAGAACGAAATGAAGTTACTCGGGTATTTGAGTTGGTTGTGGTTTTGTTTCATTTTTAGGAACATGTGATCAAACACGTAAAGCCTGACAGCAGGATTGTTCGACGAAGGGCAACAGAAACACCGTGAGGTAACGGAATGGGAAGAGTCTGTGCTGACTGCAGCGAGACAGCTGGGCACCTGATGAACAAAGGCGTGCGGTAAGACTACGGCCAGGCAAGATTTTTCAGCTCTCAATGCATTTGGGTGAAAGTGCAGAAGGGCTGATGGAAAAAGCCATTGTGGGAAGACGCTGGAGCTGCTCTTACTTGCAGGATTTAAATTCTAGAAACAAGCTGATTACTCAGTACTACTCCCTATTAATGACAAGGTGTCACTGTTTACAACTGTACGTTTGGCTTCTTTATTTCAAAGCACCTAATTCTGCAGTGCAGTAAAACTGTGTCCTGAGGTGTGGTGGTTTCCACGGATGCTGCATAGTGTCGTGGCAATCTGAAATACTTTATACTGGCCGCAAGCAGTCAGCCAGTTTAATGAGAAACATCTGTCCAGGGTGTAGGATGACGAGTGGATATCATGCCATTTTAACTTCCCTGCAAGGGGAGGTACATCATTTAACTTAGCTAGCTGGCTACATCTATGCTGTTAAGAGTTCTGCCTTTGATATTTATCTCAACGTTAGGAAGTGGCTCTGCAGCTCTACTCAAGAGCTTGTAAAAGGTCTAAAGCCATATGTGTGCTGTTCCCAGTTTGTAGTGCATTTTATTGCTTCCATTGCCGCCTTCTCACTGCTGCCTAAACTTTCTTAAAGAAAGAAGGCTGATCTTTGAAGCTCCTTGCAAACAGAAGTTAAATAATGCACTTCTGCGGGCAAGACGCTGGCTGCTGTAAAGCAAAGTCCTCCTCTGCTCTTTACAGAGACAGCACGCCTTCCTGCTGGTCCGTGGAGGTTTCCGCAGCTGTCTCCAGGAGGACGGGTTCCCCACAAAACTTGCTGAGTTTCTTCTGAGCAGCGCTGGCTAAAATAAATGATCCTTTTTTCTCACTACACTTCTGTATAGTCTGATGTTAGCAGCTCAGCTCCTCAAGTGAGGTCTGATGGTGACTGTCTCATGAGCCACCTTTTTGTATTCCCCTTACAGATGCTTGCGTTGCTTCGTGAACTTTCAGCTGCCGCTGAGTGTCCAGTTTTGTACCCGGCACTAACTGGCAAGAAAGTGTGCCAGTCGCGCAATCACCAGGGGCTGTCGCTTAGCAAGGGAACTCAGGAGCCTTGCGGGGATAGCCGGGGCACCGAGGTCCACCTGCAGGAATTGGAAGAAAGGCGGCGTGTTGGGGTTTGTACCTGGTTTTGAACAAAACACTTCTCCAGCCTGGAACAGCGTTGATGGTCCAAGTACGTGTTAAGCACAAAAGCAGTTTACAGCCAGACGCTGTCATCACGGTGTGTTTGTATCTTTTCCTTCCCAGTACTTCACAGACTTCCAGAGCTTTGCTGTTTGATGCTACTTTCAGCAGTAGCTTTTGAGTTTGAGCTTAGATTAAATATTACTAGTCTGAGACAGATACAGTGTTGCTGAAAAAGTATATGCATATACTAAAGTGCAATATATGCATTTTAAAATTTTATATGTATCTTATACATTACACATATGCATTGTAAAATGTATATACTAATACTATAATTTAAAGATGTTTTTTAAATTGTACCTTAAAAGCATGTTTTACATCGATAAGTTTAAAGGACTAATGCCACTTAGCTCTCAGATGAGCACTCTTAAATGATAAAAAAATAAACTGTAGCTATGGTATTCTGTTCTGGACTTTTTCAAGTACTTGGTACCATTGTCTTGAAGGAAGCCTGCTTTTCAGATCAGTCTGTAATAAACAGATGGCAGGGTTTTCTTATTCTTAACTGGAATCTTAATCTTTTCTTCTGCTTTGTGTCTATTAGGTGTGAAGAATTAATGACTTCAGTTAGAAAAAGTTAACAGCAAGAAGCAAACGCAAACAAGACTCTCCATACTGGCTCACCATGCGAGAAGGCAACATAAACTAAAACTGCTCATTAACCTTTGCAGGAGAGTCTTGGTATCCATGGGAGCAGCTTTAGGTGCTGCAAAATCTCGGGATCAGGTGCCTGAGCACAATCCTAATAAGATTCTCTCTGTATTACTGTACATGCTAGGTAACAGCGTGAAGCAGAGGTGGCTTTTATGGTCACTTCATAAACTTCATGGAGCACAGCACAAGGATTGTATTTTTTGTTACTTACCAGCTCTTAAGTGTTCTGATATGTAGCAGCTCTTTGCATTCACAGCTGGACATACAGCAAAATCTTACCTGTGCCATGTAAATAACTCTGGTGATATCTCTTCCGTTCACTATGTCAGGTTCCAGTATCCAAGCACTTGGCAAAATCTCCCCTCTCACCACTTCTCTACAAGGGTGTGGCATGGATGCATCATAGACAGACTGAATAGCCAAGACAGACAGGTTCTCCTGCGTGTGACAAAGCATAAAGATGACAATTTGAAAAAAAACTTTGTACATATAGTAATGTTTTCTTGCTGTGAGGCACATTTTTCATATTACTTAAAAGAGCTCTTTTAATAACAAAAACATTTCTCATTATTAAATAATTTTTTGTCATAATCTTGCATGTTTGTAACCAGAACATTACTGCCTAAGGGGGCTTGGTTGATGATTGTCATTCACCAGAGGGTTTCATACATAATTCACTTGGGTCATATTTGGCTTTTCTTCCCGTTACACTGTCGCTTCTGGAGACATGAGCATGGGCTTTCCTTCCTTCTCGCCTTCGTCCTTGCACCATCAGTTCAGACCCATTACCCCTCTCTGCTTCGGGGAGAAGGTTCACTTTACCTCTTTGGCTTCTACAGTAATGCAGCAGAAATCCCGGGGCTGCTTTAGGTAACACAGGGAGGTATCGGTCACTAAATATACTGTGGAAAAAAACACCCAAAACAAAACAAGGAATTAGATGTTGACAACTTTAACTTGTCACAATTTCCCACCGCCCCTTAAATGCACATTTTGACTTCTTGTTGCCTAAGAGCACACTTTTAGTTAACATGCTAGAATGTGTCATGAAGATGCTTTTTCAAGACACTTAAGATTTATTTTGACTTTCAAACTACTGTCTCTAGCCCTACTTCTGCAGCGAGATGTGTTTAATGTTATCCTTACTTTGGAAAAGTCTTGCAAAACTGAAGTTCCCACGTGAAATAATGAAATTGTTTATTCGGGTATGAAGAAATGACACAAGATGCCTTCAAATTTATTCCTGGCCGACAACCTCAGCTGAGAAAGTTCATAGTGACAGTGGTGGCCAGTGGTCTGTGCGGATACTCACCCAGGTGGATATGGCTGGTTACCTTCTTGTGTATTCGAGCTGTGTTGATAGTTCTGTCGTACAGATGCCTTTTGCCTGGATCTCTCACCAGTCCCCACACAGAGGGAAGAGGTCTTTCTATCACTCCTGCTCCCAGAAACCCGTGCCTTGTTGCTGAGGGGAAGACTTTGTAGTAAACCAGCACTTCTTTTTCCGTACACTGATATCTGTCAAAGACAGAGGGAAGGTATTTGCACACAAGAGGGCCAAGTACATAAAAAGGCCTCCCATTATAGAGCCCTGCCACAAACGTACTTCCAACCAGCTGCTGCTTGGCACGTGTAGAGATTTCTCAGGTTATGAGAGCATGCTGCCATTACCTTAGAAAACAAAGACAAAGGGACATGTAAGAGAAAGTTGTATAACCTATAGATGGTGTTCAGCTTTCACGTGCTGCTACGCTATCTTCTACTCAAACTACTAAGCTGGCTTTACCACAAATAGTTTTACAGTGCAATCCTCAGGGAGTATTAACAGCCAGACTGACTTGGTGTAAGCCTCAGCTGTCGTGAGAAAATGGGAGCTGGGGATGTTGAATTGATTCTACCTGATATGAAATATGAAGCTGGTATGCTTTCCTTCTAACTACGCACTCACATCTTGTCACACACAGATATTCAAAACCTGTGCTGTAGGAATTCTCAGGTGCTAGACTTCAGCGGTTTCACCAGGGTCACTCGGCTGTCTCAGCTAATGTGCAGCAGTCTCGTAACCCTGCTGCTGCAGCCTGGCTCACTCTCCCCCACCATTTACAATTGCTCACTGTGTCTCCCTGGAACTGGCAAATAGGGAACTGCTAGCACTGCAGAACACCCATTTTTGCCAAAGCTTCCAGTAGGAGGTATAGGAATGAGTGAAAGCTCTGCTTATTTACTTACCTCAGTGGTAGCATTAGCCAGGATATGTTTGGCTAAATCTTGGTATCCTTTTGTTGAAGAGGAGCTGACGGAAATAGTTAATCCGTGAGTGAACCTACAGCTGATGCTACTTGAAGGAAGGGGTGGCTGAATTTTGCTGGCTTCTGCAGGAAACAAAAAATCCATAGAGGAATAAAAGAAATAAAAAAAAAAAAAAAGGGAAAGTCTACCACTCTTTGGCAGCTGTAGGGACTTAAGCCCTCCCCTGGAGCACCCGAGCCACCTGATCCAGATGAGGGACTGATAATGTCCCATGTCTAGACAATCCGCGTATAGGTAATTACACTGCAGGTACATCTTGCATTACTTAAGTTCAATAGTTACTACCACATATAAGCTAACAAAACAACCTAAAGAAGAATAGGCAACATCAGTCTTGAGGATAAAAATAAGAACTTGCATGTACAATCCTGTACTCGTTGCAGTTTTAGCCTGGCCCTCCCTGCTTCCTTGGGTCATCCAGAGCATTGTCCTCACACCGTCTCAGAACACCGGACTTGGGTGTTACCACATCAAAAGACCAACTTCAGAGGGACCAAAGTACCATTTCCTTTTTCAAGAAATTCTAAGCAAGCTCTGGCTATTTTTCTGAAGCCATGTAATGGTAGGGCCATCCTCAAAATGCCGAGAATCAAACTGGATTTTGATTTGCATAAATGACAAATCTCATCAGGCTCTGGGATACAACGCAAACATAAGCAGACATATGTTTTACTTACCAAATGTTGAATCTTTCTGTAATTGCTCTAACACATAAAGCTGACTGTTTCTAACAGCTGAACGACCTCGTGTATCTCTTGAAAGCAAAGCATTTCCAGAAGAAACCTGATTTAAGAGAGAGAAGAAGTGGGAGTTTTTGGTGTAAACTGGGAAAAATAAATTATGTTACATAGCAAGTGGACTATTCATAGAAAATCTGCCTCACAAGATTGGAAGCTTCTCTTTATCATTAGGTAATTCCTTTGCCTTTCCTCTGGTTATGAAACGATACCTTGACTGGGGAAGTGTGGCAAACCCAGCGTGAGGCGCAAGCACAGCTACATACTCCAAAAAGTAACTTCAGGAAAGGTCAGTGTCCACACACACAGAAACTCTGAAGTCAACGCACACATCACTGAGGTAGGCACACTGAGAATTATCAGATTCTGGTTTAAAAGGCTTGCTGTTTCTAAACCATTTGACAGTGGCATTACTGACAATAGTAACATTATCTGGTTTTTATCTATGAATCAAAAAAAAACCCCAAACACTCAGAAAAATAAAAATGTCACTGTCCTCTGCAATTACACGGTAATGCTCCCTCCAGCCCATGTCACCCCTCTGTGTACCAGTGACACAAACTTGTCCTGCTTGATAGCTGTGACAGAATACGAACCATCTCAAACAAGGTTTCTGCTCCTACATTGTCTCTCTGTTACTGTTGAAGCGTCAGGAGACATTGGTCTCACGGGCTACTTGTTTCTCACCTGTCCTTCCTGGCTGCTGAGGTTACCTGCAGTATACGTAGCAGTGTTACTGCTATTGTAACCAGATGTTGGGCCAGAGGAGAGGCTGAGGCTGGAGTCTGTACATAAAGTGTTTGTACTTGCAAGAGTCTTCAGCCTTGCTTCCTCCTGTAACAGATATCGCAGTATTCAAATAAAAAAAAAAACCCCACAAAACTCACCGTGCACAACAGTCAGTCAAATCAATAACAGCACTGAAAGATGAAAGAGGAATAATCTACAGAAGTCCAGTTTCTTTCAAGCAGTGCTGACAGAACAAAAGCTGTTGCCATACAGCAAGTATTAAATGAGCAGAAGCATTTGAAAGACTAAGATTATGTAAGTCACAGAGCGAATCACCCTGTAAAACCTGGCAGTCTGGGGAAATGCTGCTCCTGCTGTTGCTGTTCTTCACATACAGAAGTCCAGGCTATCACACCAAGGCTAGGATGTTTTTAAGGGGAAAAAGAAGTCTAAAAAAAAAAATCTCTTTCCAGTCCCATTTGTTGCTCTTTGCCTGCCTCTTGGGTAGCCCCAGAGTTAACTTGCTGGTCAAATGTTGTTAAAAACTGAAGATTTTACTTTAACCAATGCAACTACTCAATGCCAGCCCAGAAGATGAAATAAAAATCACATAATCAGAAAATACAGAGCACTTCAAGATTATTTATACTTTCAAGAGCAGTTTGAAGTTTGGTTTTCCAACTCAGGTGAAGTACATCTACATTTCACAGCAAAAATATGGCAGTAGATGTGGTAAGATCCAGTGGTCCAGTGGAGGTGCCTTAAAGGGTGCAGAGCAATGGAATGAGCGTTCACCACATTTCGCACCAGGTTCCCACGTATGAGAAGAGGAGGTCTGCAGCTACAACTGAAGCTGCATTGTCAGGCAGGGACAAAGTTGCCTGCATCAAAGCACAGTCAGAAACTGGGCAGAACAGACACAGCCGAATGAGGTATTGGCCTTGCGTCTGGGAGAAAACTGCACACACTACGACTGTGCAAGGTGCGTAACAAGTGCAGAAGAGAAAACCAACAGTACAGGACAAACACACACACGGAGGCTAATCTAAAAGGAGAAACAGAAAAAAAGAAAATAATAAAGGCCTTTGTGTTTAAGTACATACTGAAGTAAGCTCGGTTTACCTTAGCAGAACTCTTCCATAGACTGGGCAGATGCCCCAAGGGATGGCTGCGTAAGCTCGATCCAGTGAGAAAACATCAGGAGTTTCTTGTACATAAAACATAGCTTCAGCAAGATGTAGTTCAGAAGCATGAACTGCACTGGTTCAGTACTACTGAGGGGTTTTTTGCATTTAATTGTTTGTTTTTTCTATGCTGATATGTATCAAACAGGAGAATTACTCAGCCATGGAAAAGTTTCTTTTAAAAAAATGCCTTGATGTGAATAAGGCATAATGGTTTCCTCAGTAACGCTCACCTTCTGTAACTGAGAAAATATTTGCTCCCGTATACGCCTTTTTTCTTGCTCAGCTCTCTCCCGAAGTTTGTCCCTGGCTCGTGCAATTTCAGATTTGGTTTCCTCTCGTGCCCTCTGGTAGTCTCGGAGCAAAAGTTCAATGTCTGAAGGGTGCTGAATGCTTCTTCTTTTTGGTTCTTGAACTCTGTAAGGATAGGTAAGTGGGGGAAACCACACATAATTACTTGAAATTGGATCACCTGACAAAATACCATGAGAAAATCACCTTTCAACAAGGAAGAGGAAAATTTGTCAGAAAAACAATTAAACCCCACCACATTAGCCTCCAGAAAGTTTCTCTTTGCTCACCAAGGGCTGCATGGACATTAACCCTGGGAAATAATTCATATTGCAAGTCCAGTTTACCACTGAGATTACTCCAGCGATTGCACTGGTTTCTAAGTCAGCTCTCCACATGATCTAAGGTTACCGCTTTGGCACATCACACGCAAAATAATTGTGCTGGGAAAATAACTGTCTCCTGGCCTACTGCAAAGGAAGCAAAAGGCATTTAGGGGACAAGGTGGGGGATGAGAAACTCAAATTCTAAATGGTGAAGGACTGCAGAACTTTTTTGATCTTTAACATGAAGCCTAACTATTTCACGTGGCTTTTAAGTTAGTGAAGGAGTAAGAAGACAGATTGGTCTATAACGACCCAAGACTGAATACTGGACTGTCTCCAACACTTGTTATGGGTTGAAATAAACTAGACGGAAGATTTTAATGAAGGTTGTCTAAAATCAGGTACACGTTTTTCCTGAAAGCACTTTCTATCCCAAAGTTTAATACTTCTGCATTGAGAAGAAGAATTCTGCTATAGAAGTTTCAGATGTCAGCAAGAACCATTAATGTGCATCCATTGTGAATGATGGCAACGTTCAG